ATATTACACTTATATTGTTGAATAAGAAATTATTATATTGATATTATATTATTGTTACTTCATATTTAGAGTAGCGATAAAAAAAGAATATGGTATATATAATTATATACATATGCATATATATACAAATATACAGTGTATCCCATAAGTTCGGCAACGGCAAAAAAACTCGGCGGGAGAGCATTTTAGAGAAAATGTTTCGAATAAAAGTTGTAAGGCTTAAAAAGTCGCATTTAATGACAGTAGTTATTTGACCTAAGATGACATCGCCAAGATCAGGACAAGGTCAACTTTGCTTTTTTAGATAGAAATACATATTTTTTATTACGGCATTTTATTCTACGTAAAAAAGCAAACAACTTTTGTTTGAAAAAATTTTTTATACGAACTCTATTTTCTAAGATATTTACGTAAATATATACAAAATTATTGGTTTCAATAATTTTTTACTTGAATTATATCAATTTTACCGAAAAATATCAAGAGATAAAATTGTTTATTTTGTTCTCATAGAACTCTGAGAATTTTTTCAGAATTTTATATTAATTTTTTAGTACTGCATTTTCTTGCATTTTCTTGAAGTACTAAAAAGTTAACACAAAATTCTGAAAAAATTCTCAGAGTTCTTTGAAAACAAAATAAGCAATTTTTATCTCTTAATATTTTTCGGTAAAGTTAATAGAATTCAAATAAAAAATTATTGAACCAATAATTTTGTATATATTTACGTAAATATCTTAGAAAATAGAGGTCGTATAAAAAATTTTTTCAAGCAAAAATTGTTTGCTTTTTTACGTAAAATAAAATCCCGTAATAAAAAATATGTATTTCTATTTAAAAAAGCAAAGTTGACCTTGTCTTGACCTTGGCGACGTCATGTTAGGTCAAATAACTACTGTCATTAAATGCGACTTTTTAAGCCTTACAACTTTTATTGGAAACATTTTTCTCTAAAATGCTCCCCCGCCGAGTTTTCTTGCCGTTGCAGAACTTATGGGACACACTGTATATATTTAATTATATATACTATATTCTTTTTTTTATCGCTACTCTAAATATG